GTCCCACGGCACCTGGCACAGCGTGAGAGCCGCGATTGGCTTCGCGCAGGGCCGGTCAACGAGCAGCGCGTCCAGGCGCCGCGACGTGGCGAGGCGGAACTCAATCTTCAGCCGCTCGTTCCGGCGTTGGCTCTGCTCCCGCGTGGAGAGTGCACGGCGGCGCGGCAGCAGCGTCTGTGCCTTGGGCAGGGGCGGCGAATCCCGCGATGTTTCCAACTTTTTAGCGGACTTGCCGCTTCTGCTGCTGCTCTCGTCGTCGGCATCGTTGTCCGCCTCATCGGTATCGCTATCGTTCTTCGGCAGCACTTCGCCCTGCGCCCAATGCACCACCACCTCCATTGCAATGTCTTCGTGCGTCCCCCACACGAATGGGTCGCGATCCTCAACGGATATTTTGCTGCCGCCGCGGCACTCCGACCGCCGTCCTGCGTGGCGTGTGCGCCCCCCAAGGCACGGACGACTCTCCCGCACGGCGCAGATCACCAACTCCGTTGACTCCGCGAGCGCGAGGAGGAGCTGCTGCTGCCCCTTGCCGTTGCAGTACACAGACGTCTCGATCGGGTGGAATTGGGCTGTGCCCACCTGTGTGAATAGAAGTTTCAGTGGCATCGCATTCATCTCCTTATCCTTGGGCTCATTAGTACTCGGCATGTCCATGCCGCTTACCTCCGGTGCTCTTTCTTGTTTCTGCTGGTGCGTTGTTGTTGTTGTTGTTGTTGTTGTTGTTGGTGTCTTCATTGTTGAGGGTGCGCTTCCGTCCGCCAGAGCCGGGTCGAAATAGTGGCGGCGTGGCTCCCCGCGCGCGCACCAAAACTTCAGGCGGGCGATGAGTTCCTCCGTGAATGCCACCTGCCCCGCCAGCGCCGTCTCCACTGTGACCTTGTTGTGCTGCACCTGCGAGTGTTCGCGGTACTTTGTGTCATGCCCGGCGTTCGGCGGCAGGAAAATAGCCTGGTCGAATGACACGCCAACGCTGATGCCGCACGGCGGTGCTGCTGCTGCTGCTGCTGCTGCTGTTCCCTTCGACGACTCCGGGGTGCTTGTAATAAGTCGTCCTACGCAAGACGCAGAGGTGCCAAAGAATGCACCCGTGACGCTGCAGCGGTTGGAGTGCATCACAAGCCACGTATCCTCTTCCTGCTCCTCCTGTTCTTCATGATGCTGCTGTTTCTGTCTCTGATCCGTCGCGGAACTCCTTGTTTCACTTGCCTCGGTTCTGGGCTTCAGCGTGCTGACGTCTTGTGTCGTGTGTGACAGCGCAGCGTGTTCGCCCCATCGCCGGTGGGGGGCACCGCGAGAGTGCAGGGAAGCTGTGCTCGGTGAGGCGTGCGCGTACGGCCATGTGGCACCGTGAACGTGCATGTTGCTGCCGGTCCGCTGCATCTCCGGCAGCAGCTGCGTCAGCGCACGCATCGCGTGGCACCACACCCGGGAACTCTCTGCCGCAATGTCGCGGGGCACTGCGTGACGTTCTGTTGCGGATGCTGGTGCTGTTGCTTGCGTTGTTGGTGTAGTGGATGACGTCAGTGCGAGCACGGAGCCCTCTGCAGGCGCTCTATCCACCGGGGCGTCGTACCGGTGCCGCTCCGACTCGCGGACGCGCACAAAGAAGAACTTCCGATTGCCGAAGCACGGCTCGGTGTGCTCGCAGACGCCGACCGCACGTGTTGCAACCACAACATAAAACAAGCCTGTTTTACCCTCCGCCGTGTTAGCGACCACGACCGACTCGTCGTCGACATTGCGCACGTGCCGGGCGTATAGGAGGCAGCGTGACATGAGCTGCAGCGCACAGACAGTGGGGTTGAGCGCAACAGCGGCACGCATGAACATCTGCAGGCTGAGGTGGTCTGTCGCTCGCTGCTCCTCAGTACCAAGCAGCGGCGCGGGCGGCTGCCGCAACTGCAGCGGCGGCTGAGTGTGTCGCGGACGCTTCTGGCGTCGGGACGCACATTGCACACAATCTTCCCCGCCTGTCACATCACTTTCCCCGCTTTTGTTGGTGTCGCTATTGATGTTCTTGTCATCGTTGCTCCCGTATTCCTCCCCACCATCAGTGAGGTCGACAAACCGGCCTCTATCGCTCTCCGGATCGTGCGCCTGATGCCTCTTCGCATGTGGTGCCACGTCGTGGGCAAGCCACTCACGCAGCACAAGGTCGTCCGTGCACTCATCCACGGCGACCTGCAGGTACTGCTGGAACAGCGCCGTCACCACGGCGCGGCGGATGAACTCAACGTGGCGCGCCGCCGCGTCCTCCTTTAGGCTACACTCACGCAGGTATCTTGCGGATCTGTCGCCCACACGTTGTTGTTGCTTCTCCTGATGATGGCCATGATGTTGTTGTTGTTGTTGTTGTTGTTGTTGAGCATGTTGATTCCGAGGGTTCGGAGATGTGCCACTGTGGCGTGGCTCCGTTCGTGGCGGCGGCTGTCGTTTCACGCGACTGGTGCGCTTCAAATTCCCCCGCCTTGCGTGTGCAGTCTGTCGTGCTGTTGCAGCCACCGCGACGCGCTGCCATGCGGCAAGCAGTCGCTGCGAGATGTTGAGAATAGCCCGCACGTAGTCATCGAGCAGCGTTGCAGCACTGCTGATCTCCGCAAGGACGTACGCGAGTACCTGCAGGCGCGTTGAGGTGATTGGGATGGCGTCGGCGAAGGCGTGGGCAGGAAGAAGGGGCACGAGCGCCTCAGCAGGCGATGACCGCCACGACGGTGTCAACATCTACTGGTGCTGCTGTTGTTAGTGTAAGTGAGTGTGTGTGTGTGTGTGTGTGTGTATGTGGCAGGCACGCCCAGATACCTCCTGCGGCCGCAGCTATCACGCCTTGTGGACTGCCGACAGGCAGAACCACACACACACACACACGTACACGCGCAGAGAGAACCCACGCACTATTCATGACAGAGCAGCCATTATAAAAAAAAGAACAAGACGAGGAAGGATGTGGCATCCAACAACTTTTATGAATCGGATGCAGGAGGCTCCATAATAATCCAATGAGAAGGTATGACGCATGAGAGAAGGGATATTTCCTCAAGGAAGACGCGGAGAGTAATCCGTGTCATGACGCAACAACAACAACAACAACAGCAGCAGCGACACTCTTTCCCACGCAGACATACAATTCAGTCACTTTTACCAGCGTCAGCTTGCCCTGGGTATTGCTGATGCCAACACCTCCATCTCCTCCTCGTAGAGTTGCAGCTCGGTGGGGGTGCGTACGAGTGCCTCGCGCAGAACGTCCCGCATCGCCAGCAGCAGCGAGTGCTGGAGCGGGGCCGCCGGCACAGCCCTCTGCTGGCGCGTCCGCCTCGTTGTCTCGCTCTCGTCGCTGTTGTCATCCTCGAATCGAATACGCTTACGGCATACTAGCCTAGGTGTCTGATCTCCATCAACTCGGAAATTGCCACCCTCCTCACACTTCTCCTCTAGATCTCCTTCGCTCGTTTTGTTGAGGCTTCCTCTTCGGCGGCAGCTGCTGCTGCTGGATGGCAAAGCATAGGCAGGCACCGATTCCGCACATCCCCGCCGGCTCCCCTCCTCCTCCTCCCCTTCATCCTCCTGCTGCTGCTGCTGAATGCGATGGAACACCGACTGCAGCGCCTCCTCACGCTCCGCGGCGGAGGAGTGCAGGTCGTACTTCCCGGCGTGCACCACCGCCAAGTTGAGGTTCTCCTTCGCCGCGCTGATCTGCAACATGCCCCGCTCCACTGGGTGGTCAACGACGAGGCGGTACACACGCACCTCGCGCGTTTGTCCCATGCGGTACACGCGTGAGAGCGCCTGCGCGTCCCGCATGGGGTTGTAGTCAACGTCCAGCATGAAGACGGTGTCGGCGCTCTGGAGGTTGAGCCCAACGCCGCCAGCGACTTTGCTGATGAGAAAACATTTTGGGTCCGACGCGTCCGCCAGCGCCGAAGCGACAGCAGAAGCTCGTGCTTTGCTTCCGCCACGGCCCCCTGTCGCAACGTCATTGACAACTTCATCGCTACCAGCCGTAGGGGATGCGGCAGCGGCAGCAGCTGCGTTGTTGAACCGTGCGATATTCTTCTTGCGGTCGTCCACCGACGTCTTCCCGTCGAGGCGGACGAACGGCATGCCGCGCATCTGGCACACCGTCTCGACGATGTCCAGCACGAGCGTCCAGCTGCAGAAGACAAGGAACTTGTGCTGCGTCTTGCACAGGAAGCGCATCATAAAGTCCAGCACCAGCATCTTGCCCGAGGAAGAGATAACGTCCTCGTCGATGTAAAACGCATCCTCTGTGGTGTATGGGTGGAGCAGTAGCTTGCGTGCGTGAATCGTGGCGTTTCCAACGAGGCGGCCACACTGCCGCTTGAGCTCGAGCTGCTCCAGCATATCCCGCTGCAGCGGCAGCATTGGGCACCAGATGGTGAACTCCCGCTTGGGCGGCAGCATGTGCTGCAGCAGACTCAGCTCACGCCGCAGCACGAAGGGCGACACCAGCGCGTGCACGCGCCGGCACAGCAGCAGGTGCAGCTCCTCGTCCTCCAGCGCACCGGAGCGGCTCGCGTGCATCAGCGCGCCGTCGAGCCGCTCCATCAGCTCCTTGCCGGATCTTCTACTGAGAATCATCTGCGGCGTGAGGAACTGCAGCAGGGAGAAGAGCTCCGCAACGTTGTTCTGCAGCGGCGTGCCAGTGAGGACGAGGCGTGTTGTGCTTTTGAGCTGGGAAAGCTTGTTGAACAGTACACTCTCCGCGTTCTTGATGCGGTGCGCCTCGTCCACAATCGTCACGTGGAACAGGACATGTCGCAGCCGCCGCATACTGGCGTGTAGCGGGCGCACAAACATGTCGTGTGGCGCCACCAAGACAGGCGTGGCCGGCTGCTGCTGCTGCTCTGCGTGCGAGAGGAAGCGTCGCGTCACCTCCACTCGCTCCTCGCGTGAGCCGTTCAGAACATACGCGGTAAAGAGCAGTGGCGGCGGCGGCGGCGACGACGCGCTGCGGCCAACATCACGCAACCCGAAGCGCTCCAGCTCGTCCTGCCAATGCGGAAGCGTGGAGAGAGGAGCGACAATGAGGACTGGGCGCATCGGTGACGTCACCCCCGTCACGATGTTGCACTTCATTTCATGGGCCGGTTTTCTGCCGCGCCTCCTGAGGCCGTTATTCACAGCACCGCCACTCAAAGCAACGGCAGCCGTAGTTGTACCATTCACAGCAGCAGCAGCAGCAGCAGCAGTAGTAGTAGTATTTCTTTTTGGGTCCTCTTGAAGGACCCAGCTAAGCGCATCTGCAAGAGTCGCTTCTCGGTTCTGCTGCTGCTGCTGCTGCTGCAAACTCTCCAGCGCGAGTTTGTAGCACGAGAGGAAGACCACCGACTGCGCCGTCTTGCCGAGGCCCATGTCGTCCGCCAGGACTCCATGCATGCGCTCCGCCATGCTGAGCCGCAGCAGCCACCGCACGCCCTCCTGTTGGTGTGGCATCAGCAGCGCGTACCCTGGAGTCCGCCGGAGGCTCTCCGCCACACACCGCTCCACCGCTGCCAAGCAACGTGCATGTTGCCCTTCAAACGGCGCTGCCTCAACGCCACCACTGGCGTTGACACCGCATCCATCGTCATGGTCGTCCTCCTGGTGACCAAGCTGCAGACGTTGCATTGGCCGTGTTTGAGCCCCGCCGGTGGGACCGGTGCGGCCGTCCACCGGTGCGTCATCGTCACCCGTGTGGCGCGGCGCGTACACCGCGAGAAGCGCCCGCTTCAGTTGTGCATCGATGGAGGCGAGAACGGCCAGCACCTGCGCCCCCTTCTCCGACGGCCTCGACTGCAGGGCGGCCACGTACGCCGCCTCACCGTCGCCGTTGCGGTCCTCCAGCAACAGCCGCAGCCGCTCTCTGTGGGCGCTGAGATGGGCGCGGTCGTGCACCTCACGACACAGCGCATCCCAGCGCTTCTGTTGCTGTGAAACATTCTCGCTTCGGCGCCGCACTGCCACAACATCACGTACAACGCTCCGCCACGCCGCTTTGAGCTCTGCGACACGAATGCGCGCTCCTGCTCGTGGTGGGCGCGGGGGATTGCCGCTTCTCGACTTGTCAGCAGAGGCAGAAACAGCCGCCCTTCCGCTGAAGGCGCCGCTGCTGTTTCCAGCATCGCCAACGATGCCCAGGCGTGCCTGTCTTCTTGTAATCATGAAGTAAATATCTTCGTAGAGAGCAGCTCGAAGTGTGTGCGTGTAGCACACACACACGCCCACGCACCTTCAGATAAGTATAAGCCTATAATGTTTACTTTGCTGTCGCTAATAACACCTAGTGGGGAAGCACGAAGGTTCGCTTTTCCCCCTGCCCCTCCACCCACCCACACTCTCGCACACACACACACACACACACGCCTCTTTCGAATGAGCCGCGCAGAAGAAAAGGAAAAGAACGGGAAATGCTTTGCGAGGATGCGGCGGTGATTTCAGGTACGCTGTAATAATACCGCACGCGGCGCACGCGCAACCGCATATCCAGGGGGGGGGAGAGAGAGAGAGAGAGAGAAAAGCCCCTCCTCGCCACGTCGACTAGAGAGCCGTGTTTCCATGGCGGCTATTCGTGTTTCTGATGCTGCTGCAGGGTCTTGAGGAGCTTGTCAACCTCCTCGCGCTGCCGCTTCACCTCCGCCCGGTCCGCGGCGACGTGCAGCTTGCCGATAATCTCCCGCTTCGCCCGCATCAGCAGAAACGCGGGCAGTTCCTTCGTGGTATCGCACTTCATTGCGCGGAGGATCTCTTTGGCGTTGTCCTGCATCGAGTACTCCGACGCCACCGGCGTGGGCAGAAGGAACGTCGACACCAACGTGAAGTACAGCGTGAGGCCGAACGTTACGCCGATGGCGATGTTTGCGCAGATGCCGCGGCGCTCAAGGTAGCGGTCGACGGCGACCTTCCTGCGGTAGTACCTGAAGTGTACGCGGAACACGGGGTCGAGGAAGTTCCAGAAGACAAACGTTGCCCATTTCAGCCGCGCGGGGGACTCGTACGTCATCGCAGCCGCTTCATCCATAAGCACAAGCGAAAGAAATAAATAGGGAAAGAGGGAGCGAGTCCGTTAGTGGGTAAGGGCATGCAGCAGGAGAAAAGTGTGTATGGGTGGGGGAGGAGGGGGGAGGGCGCAGCAAAGGCGCTGGGCCCAGGTGGGAGCGGCAGCCGCCCCACGCCCCTACCGGTGCAGTGGAACGGGAAACAAAACAATTCAGACTCCGCCATGGGGAGTGCCGCAAACGCACAAACAAACACACAAGCACACACACA